TTGTGCTGGAAAGTTTGGTGTCAGCTTGATACAAGCTACAGTCATTTGAGAGGAGAGAACCTCAACTGAGAAAATACCTCCATAAGATCAGGATGTTTGCATTTTCTTAATTAGTTATTGATGTAGGAGGGACCGCTTGTTGTGGGTAGTGCCATCCCTGTGCTGAGAGTCCTGGGTTCTATATGAAAGCAGGCTGAGGAAATCATATTGAGCAAGCCAATAAGCAGAATTTCTCTATGGCCTTTGTATCAGCTCCTGGCTCCAGGTTTCTGTCCTGACTTCTTTGATGATAAGCAGTGAAATGGAAGTGTAGGCTAAATAAACCACACATGGCATTTCATCACAGCAATAGAAAACCTAACTAAGACAAATGTGTAGTTGGTCTTTCCTTATTGACAGATGACTTCCAAAAAGAGAACAGAAATGGCTTTCATAAAGAAAATCAAGATTAAATTAGAGGCAACATATTAACTGCTGATAGATACTTCTTACATAAGGAAGCCAAAAGGCCAATGTTGTGCAACAACTTACAAAACAAAACTTGAAAAGAAATGTGACATTTGTTCAAATTATTATAGTTTAAAGGAATATAACATAATATTCAAGTTACTCAGCAATTAATTAATATAATTAAAACTAACTTTACACATATTTTTCACTCTCTTAGCCTCACCATTTTCCTCCCCATTAGAGGACAGTGTTCTCTGGACCCTCTTCACTTCTCCCTTCATATCTGTTTATAGCCTAACTACGTTTTTCTTGAGGATACAACTTTGCTTTTCTAACTGGGTCACATATCCTTGCTGGACTCTTGGATTTTCCAGTTATCTCCTTTTCACATTTGTCTTTCTGTCAGTCTTCCATGTATGCCTGCAGTTGATTTAATAATGTCTTTAGGCACTAGTGGGAGGGCTTCTTTATCCAGAAGCTGGTACTGACATGAAGTAGGTGTTCAACAGTTGCTTCTTTAGATTAATTCATTTTACTCAAGTTTTTAAGTAGGACTATTCCTATCAATACTCTAATCTTTTTCATTAGGATCTAACACCACAATCATTCCTCCCATATTTTGGTACTCACAAAGACACACACACATAAATATAATTTTTTATTTTAATAGAAAATGAAAAATTTTTAAATGTAAAATATTATATATAAATACTATATCTGGATAGTTGAGTACATAGTATGTATTGACACAGAGTTAGTAGAATACTTGGATTTTATTACAATATTGAATTCCAAGAAATAAAACCTGTAGATACTGTTTCATCATTCTGTCATGTTTTATAAGCAGAAGTCCACAATTTAAAAACAAATGTTATCTTACTCACATGTATGTGAACATTAGCCTCTCCAACTCTTAAGTGATAGCAGTCATCAGTATGCTTTCTGTTACTATAGATTAGTTTGTAGTTACTAAGAGTTTTCATGTAGCATAATTCTGTTGTGACTTAACTTGTGTTGTGGAAAGTATTAATAGTTAATTCTTTTCACTGAGTAGCAGAAATTTGCATCTATGTAGAACACAGATGTTTATCTCTTCACCTGTCGATGTTAATGATGTTGTCAATTTCTGCATACAAACTTTGTGTAGCTGTATATTGGGTGCATTGTAAAAATGAGATGATTGAGTCATGTGACAGGTGTGTTTCTGAGTTTCAGTGAATATAAGACTATTCCAAAGAGATTATAACATCTTGTATTCTGGTCAAGATTTTCATCGCTCCTTTTAATACTTGGTTTGTCAGTTACACAAGTTTTAAACATTTTTGTTTTTATTTTCCTAAACTAGCAATATTGCACCTCTTTACATGAAATAATTCTTAAAACTTTTTGACATTTATGTGAGGCTGGCCTTAGTATGTGATGTTTTCAGCGATAGTAATTGCTAACCATCTAACTGTGGATAGTAACCAGTATCCTTGGAAATAGTCTGTAATGTTGTGGGGGAGGTGACCCATTGGCTGACAGCTCAACAAGATATAACCCGTACCTGGTACTGGGGATTTTATTTGGTAGCATATGATATTTGGTTGGGGTATTGTCCCTGCATTATATGCTAACACCATTTAAATTCCTGTTGCATATAAATCTTAGAAACCATTTTTTTTAAGCCAGGTGAGGTCCCACATTCTTTTAATCCCAGCACTGCAGAGACATAGGCAGACACATAGTTCCAGGACAGCACTAGAGCTATATTGCACAGGCTGGCCTGGAACTCATAACAGTCCTCCTGCCTGAGCCTCCTGGTATTGATCCTACAGGCATAAGCCACAATACCCACTATATAACAAGTCGTAAAGTCGTGTAGTGATAGCTTTTCTGCTTTGGTGTCCTTTTTCTGAGTTTCGGCTTTTCGAGCTCCTCTGGATTTCCTTATGAATTATGGCACCAACTTGTGAATTTCTACCAAAAGAAAAAAGGAAAGAATTTCTGTGGTTTTTGTTGGAACTATTTTAGGCCAGTAAGTCAGTTTGAGTGAGACAACCAAGGGATGCCCATCCCTTTAGTTACATTTTGTTGAACTTTTTTTAGAAGCATTACATAGTTTGAATTATATGGATTTTGTGTATTTGGTAGATTCATCTTTAGGTAATCCTCATGATTTATACCATTGAATTTTGCAGTTTCCAAAATTTTAGTTCTGCATATCCAAATTCATTGAATAGTTCTAGATGATCATGTTGGCCGTCTGTCAAGCTTTCTACATTGATGATCAAATCAAGACAGTTTTGGTTCTTCCTTTCAATCATCATGCCTTTTTATTGCCTGATGTCACTGGCTGGACCTTTGTAATAATGCTGAATAGAGAGGTATTAAAACACGAGCAAACTTCCCTGCTTTTGGTGGTGGTGGTGTTGTTTCTGTTTGGTTTGGTTTGGTTTGGTTTGATTTGATTTGTTACATATTCCAGATTATCTGAACACAGGTTTCCCAGTGACTCTCTTGTTATGACCTCCCAGCTCACTGTAAAAGAGCTGGGATTATAAATTGTGTCTAACACTTAATATGGATTAATTTCAACCCACAAATCCACATAAAGTGTCAGACTAATTTATAATCCCAGTTTCTTGTACTCTACCAACTTTTTTATAAATTTAGAAACTTAATTGGATAAGCAGTATCTCACATTCTTAAAGCATTTTTGTGGTTGATTCTGTTACCACTATAAAATGAACTTTTTATTTTTAATGTTTTCATGAAATATATTTTGATTATATTTTTCCCTCTTCCAACTTCTACCAGATCTTCCCTACCTCCCACCCAATTACATGCTTTTTCCTTTGCCTCTTTCAAATAACAACAACAAAAATATAAAAATATTTAAAAAACACACAGCAGCCATGGAATCCATTTGTGTTGGTCAGCTCCTCCTAAACATTAGGCCTTCCCTGAAGTGTACTTGATAGACCTGTGTCAGCCCACTGGAGAAATCTGATTTTGTCTCTCCCAGCAACTGTCAGTTGCCATTAGCATCTTAGAAGTGATATTTTGACCCCACTTTCTCTTCTCTATGCGGGGCTGTTTGTCTGGCTTAGATTTTTGCAGGTGTTATGCCTACTGTCACAGGCTCTTTGAGTTCATATGTATATCAAAAAGCCCTGTTGAGTCTGTAAGAATGGTGTTTCTTTGGAATCATCAATTGCCTCTGGCGCTTAGGATCTATAATATTTGACTCACCAAAGTGAGACAAAGAAGAAATAAACAGTTTAAATAGGTCAATAGCCATAGTGAAATAGAAGTGGTATTTAGAAATCTCCTAACTGGTAAAAACCCAGGGCCAGAGGAATTCATTACAGTATTCTCCCAGACCTTTTGAACTTCTTCTGTGGAGAATTCTCTGTTCAGATCAGTACCCCATTTTTCAATTGGGTTAATTGGCTTTTTAAAGTTATGTTTTTTAATGATTTTTTTCTCCCAACTTTAGATAATTTTCTAATATACATTCTCTAAATTAGTTAATATCAGGCTTCCTGATGCTGTGACCCTTTAATACAGTTCCTCAGGTTGTAGTGAACCCAAACCATAAAATTATTTTCACTGGTACTGCACAACTGTTCTCCAACCTGTGAGAAGGTCGTCTAGACAATGTTTTGATGGAGACTCAAAGAGGAGTTCCTTGTGATTTCTAGAGCTCGTGTGCACACTTTCTCCATTTCCTCACCCTTGGTGTCTGTTTTCTCTGGTATTAATGCATAAAAACTTTAGCTACCTTCATTTCTGTGGATTTACAACTTCATCTCCTTGTCTGCTTGGATTGTGCTTTTCTAGAATATATCTTGGAAAATATCTATACTGTAAGCTAGACAACTGTAAGGCTCACCTAGCTTGGTTCCTAAATATCAAGCGTTCCATGGCCAATACCTTGAGAATCACTGCTTTGTTCTTTCCATATTAACCAAATGTTATGAAACCATTTGTAACATTAACCCATCCCTGATGCCACAGATGGAATTGAACTTTCATATCGACAACAGTAGACTGACTCTCAACTACATATTTGAAAAAATAAGATTTTTCTAGTCACAAAAATATTTTAAGTAAGTAGATAAATCTTAATGGAACAGGCTACCTACTTTTAGGCTTTTGTCTCTGTCATGTCAGTCATAAATATCTATTGAAGTTTCTTAAAAAATCATTAATAAATTAGCAATTAGTGCACGATAATTTGATGATGAGTTTGTTTTTTGTTTTTGTTTTTTTTTTTACTTTTATCTGCATTTATTTCATGTTGAATTTATTCCTGTGCCATAAGTTTTTGTTTCTTCAGTTTCTTCTGGGATATCTTTTTCTTCTATGCAGCCTCCTCTTCTGGCTTTGGAACAATCTGTTCCTTTTCAGTGAGGATCATCTCGATGTGGCAGGGGATTAACCCGTACATGAGCTCTGTAAGTTCGTCGGCTCATCTTAGATGCTTTGTTCACCTGGATGTGCTCAATGACCAGAGAGTCCACATCTAAACCCTTCAGTTCAGCATTGCTCTCTGCATTCTTCAGCATGTGCAGCAAACATTCTGCACTCTTTTTGGGCCACCGACCCTGTGTCCAGCCCCACTGTTTGGCCAGGGCGCACCTACCGACTCCACCATTGTACCGTCAGAATGGCACACACTGCTTCTTCAAAGTGACATCTTTCAGATACTTGGTGGCTTTTCGGATATGCATACCCTTGATGGCCTGGGCCGTTTCACGGGTGTTCTTAAAGTGAACCCGAAGGTTTGATCCTCTCGATTTGTATGATTTTGTAGGGTTTTCTGGGTCAAGAGAGTAGCGAACCATCTTCACGGGTCACCTCTGGAGTTTTTAGTTGATGATCCTGTTCTGTGTCCTTTGCTTGCCTCACTAGTACCATTACTGATTTTCCTTCCAGCACTGCTTTGTTTGTCCCCCTCTCGAAAGATCAAATGCCTCACTTTTCATAAAAATACATGAAGTAGGTTGCCCAAACTGAAATACTCTGTAATGCTCTGTTCTTAGCATAGCATAGCATTCATTACACTTTACGGAACTGTCTGTTTTCCCTAGTGGGAACACAGGTTCTCATTCACTGGTGTGGCCCCATGCTCATAATAACATAGCACCTTGTAGATCCTCTGATTTTTTTTTTTTT